ATTGTTCTTATTATCCACAAAACCTTTTTTTTCAGGTTTTCTGGACATACACACACCCTTTAAGGAGCAACAGACAAAAAGCAGTATACTGACAATTGACTGTATATTTTTTTTGATAACTGGTATCAAAGTTGTACTTTATTAAAGAATCATTGTCTTTTAGATTCAGATATTAAAATATTTATAGATGAGATGATTTCATGTCTTGGGTTTGCTTTAAAATAATCTGAAGAAAGATGGATCAGGAGTGAATAGATGTATAGAGGAAACAAGATTGAGCACACACTGATGGCTGGTGCTGTGTGAACAGTATAAGAGTTGTATTCTTCTCTATGCTTTTGTCTATGTTTGAAATTTTCCATGATAAAAAGTTGAAAAATATGTCAAAAACAGTTAATGAATGTCACTAGTCTCTTCAGTTTATTCATGTTCAAGGAGCCAGCTCTCAACCCTCTTTCCTTTATTTCTTTAGAGGGGTAACCGATTCTGGTGTTCTAAGCAGTAAATTCATGCCATTCTCTTTTATTACTCTCAGGATAGCTCATGGCAGAAGCAAAATAAATCCAATTTCTGAATCTCCTTTGTTTTTAACCACTTGGGAATTGTCTCTGAAACTACTGTGGGCATTTTAAGTAACCCTGATTACCCAGCAAGAACAATGTACCTTTCAGGCAAGCAGAATAAAATAAGCAGGATAAAATAACTCTTTCTGCCTTTCTATGCTTGCATGACAAAAGCTATAGCTATTAAATACCGCTGCTCGATGAGCTAATGAATGGTGAGCTGGTAATTGTGTTTTTGGCATCTTGGGATCTGAGCCTCTGCCATGTATGAACTTGTATTCTTCATTATGTGGCCTTGTTAAGTTTAGCTGCTGAGTTACATGTTGGGAAAAGAGGCTGAGGAATTCCAAAGCTAAAAACTGACCTCTCCATATTTCAAACTAAAGTCAGGCGTCTTAGGGTGACTTTTTTTGGTTTTTGTTGTTGTTGTTGTTGTTATTGTTAAGTAAAGGTCTGATTTACCCTTAGAGCGGAGGCTTACTGTGGCCATAAATGGCATTGTAACCTTTGGATCTGTTTGACCAACCCTGTCCATGTTCTGCACTTCCATTTGGATGGAAGCCAGAATAGGGATAGTGTCCTGCTTAGTCCTCTTTGCTTTATCACTACCCCTCCTAAATCAGTGTCCTCCTCCTTTCCCTACAGAATCTATCTCTAAGGGGTAAAGCACATGGCTTTTTATAAGTTTGATTTCTTTGGGCCAAGGGTCCCAGTGAGGTTTATGGAACTTCTTTCCTTCCCCTAAAAATAAAATAGGCTCTGAATTAGCCAGGGCAGCTCCACTGGTGTCCCTCTGAAATGCTTCTATTTATGTCTTTGAGGAACAGCTTCTGCCAGGACCGCACTGTAGCGAGGAAGGAGTAAGGCTCAGCCCCTGCTGAGGGGGAAAACAGGTGCACAGACAGAGCCTACTGGAATACAGTGCAGGGTGTGCTATCATAGAGGCATGAACTGGGCACTCTAGGGGCAGAGTTGACATTGGTATGTCTGGGGACATCAGGACAGACTTCACAGTGGAGGTCTGAAATATTTGGGCTCAGGGCAGAACTGGTAGCCTGGGATAATCGAACCCTTTTGGGATCCCAATTTGAGAGTTCTGTCCCATTAGATGGCACCTGGTATGGAACCAGCTATGACATTTCCCTCAGGGCTCGTCCAGTTCTGAGAATGCCTAAAATTAGACTGAAAATCAGGATTAAGGTGTCTCACCTGCCCTTGTGGCCTTGAGCATCCTATGACCAGGACAGTCGCATTCCCGGTGCTGCCCAGGTGTGTCTTCTGAGAGCTGTGTGCAGGACTCCCCTGTGCAGAGGGGCTTGTTCGTGATGGGTGACTGACAAAACTGATTGCCAAGCACTTTGCTCTCCCTGTGCAATTCCTGCTACCCGTGACAGCAGCTGAGTAATAAGCAGTCAGACCTCTTACCTGGACATTAGTCAGTCACAAGCTCTTGAGCAATTGTAAGTCAGCTCTTGAGACCGTTGCGGGTTAGTGTTAGCACTTGTTTCTGTTGCCCAAGAAGATCCTTTCTGAGACCTCAGCAGGCATAACGGCTTCAGAAGAATTCAGAAACTCAGTCACTTTGTTTGGAAATGTGAGTGAGAGTGCCCTGGGCTCGGGTCCATGTGGGCCTGGCCCGCTGGCCAGGACACAGTGTCGATGAAGCTAGGCTCCTTCCCCCACCGCCTTGCTCTCTCCTGGAGCTGCAGACTAGCATGTCTAACCTCAGCCAGCCACCTCGCTCATGTGTGCCCTCCGTCTCAGAGGAGCCAGGTGGCCAGGCCTAATGGGGCCTCCCGAGTCAGAAACCACGTGTGGAAGAATGACCGAGAGAGCCTGGCCTCCCTCACGGGACATGACCCCTGTCATCCTCAACCCCACCCTTGCCCCACGCTCCTGTGATTCCCACTTCACATGGGTTAAATTCCTTGTGCTCGTATTTTGTGTGTGGTGGGATGAGGAGGAAACAGCTTCCACAAATCAGCCCACTGAAAACAGCCACTTGCGTGGGAAGTAGGATTCTACGTGGAGAATGGGGTGCTGATTTGCGGACCGGGTTTGGGTTGCAGGCTGAGGAGCTTTGCTTTGCTGAAGCAATGCACAGCACGCCTTTGCCTTACACCCCCGGCACCCAGGGAGGCCGCCGCCAGGAGCAGAAGAGCAGAGAGAAAGTCCATTCTATGTCCCCATTGATCCCGGCCAAGAAAGCTCTGCCACCTTAACCACACTTATCAGGGATTCCTGGAAAACAGGACTTCGTTTCCATTCCTGGGCGATTTCCAGTGACCACTGTCTAAAAGACCTGCACAGCCGGGCTGTATCAACTCCCAGGACGCAGTGTGGGAACCAGTCGCGCCAGTTCTGTCATCACCTGCCTCCTCCAAGGCAGCAACGTGATCAGACTGGGGATAGGAAAACAGAACCATGAGTGCCCCGACACAGCCCACCGTGAATGTGAAGCTCCAGAAGAGCAGTCAGCTCCAGCCGCAGTCAGGGGACACTAGGGGCACACTAGGTCGCCCAAAGCCAGGGCGACCACACACTGGCAATTAACCACAGATCTTCCGGATCACCTACATCCCACATGTAACACATAGCCCCCTCCTCACTGATAAGCCCATGTGGTTTGCCTCTGAACACAATATTCCTTTAAAGAGCAAAGCGTAAGCGTCTCACCTGATAGACCAAGCTGCTGCTCAAGTCCTCTCTGGGCTGGGGGGCTGGCGCTGGTGTTGGCCTGTGGAACTCTTTCCCAGCCTGCCATAGTTACTGTCCTGCCTCTGGAACAGTGCCCAGGATGTGGCTGGTAACGGGAGAACCAGGTGCCAGAAGCCAGATCTGGGGGCCAGGGGGTTGTTTTAGGAAAGCACTGCCTTCAATTTGCAGACAGTTTTATCCACATGCAACCACGTTTATTTCTACAGAAACGGCTTTTTACCAAATAGTTCTGCTGAAAATTCACTTCCCTCAAGCGGATTCTGCTCTTAGGCATTGAGAGAGGGGTGGAAAATGCCTTTGTCCTGGGCTCCCTGTCATCTACTAGGCCTCTCGTGTACCTGGGGCACACGCAAACAACCCTGTTCTCACTCCTGTTTCTCCTTTTCCTGGTTAACATCCCCACGGACCCATTGGATCTAAGACAGAAACCCAGGAGTCATCGTTTCTGTGGCTTCTCTCTGGTCCGCTCTAAGTGGGTATCAAGACTTGTCACTGACTTTGCTTTCACCGGAGCCTGCCTTCCCCTTACGGGCCCCCTATTTTCCATTCCATTTGTCACGTCCTGGTTCAGGTCTTAGCATCTCTTCCCTGGGCCGTCTCAGCTGCGCTTAGCTGATCTTTTCTCCTTTAGCCGGAATCTGTTACTCCCAAAGCTTCAGTGGGTCCCTTTTGCCTAATATCAAAATTCCTTAGTGTGGCATTCCAGACCCTTCACAGTTTGAAGGATGTAACTTTCCTCTCGAGCCCTGAGGTTTTCATGGCCCCAGCCCAGTGCTCCCATACTCCCCCACCCAGCGTCACGCCACCACCTGGGGCTCTCCCAGCCCACCTGCACAGCCATGCCCCGTGCCTGCTCCCAGCACCTGTTCCATCCGCCTGCCCACGTCTCACACCCCCCTTCCCTGCCTGTGAGACTCTGACTCATACTTCCAGACCTGGCTCGATTTCTGCTTCTGCTGTGAGGCTGTCCCGCTCTCCTCCCACTGAAAGGAATTAATTGTTCCCTCTTATGTTTCTCTCAGTGCACTTGGTTCATATGTCCATCATGCCATTTGGATTATACAGCAGTTGGTGTGTTCTCTCCTCCACCCCTCCATGCAAGTGTGTGTGTGTGTGTGTGTGTGTGTGTGTGTGTGTGTGTAAAACAAGTATTTCTTGAGTACACTATGCCAGGCCTAATTGTGAACCAAATCAACCTGATCTACCTTCATGGAACTTGGAGTCTAGCAAATATTTGTCTCCTCACTGTACTGTGAGTTCCTTATAGATGAAGGTCCTGCTGCCTGTCAACATCACTGGCACATAGCGGCCACCTGCTCCATGGATGTCTACTCAGTGAACTCTAATATAGGCAGAGATGGATGCTAGAGTAGAGGAGGGGATGGGGCTGGGTGGATTCCTTTTGGGTACAAGGTAAGTAGAAAGCTTGGAAAAGTCACATTCTACCCTAAGTTTCTAAAGGGCAGCCTGTGTTTTTATATGTGGTTCATACATTGGTGTGGACCCATCATCTAGGGACCATGAGGCAAGTTCTGGGACTTGATCTAAATGTTTATCCAGATATCCCGGAGAAGTTTGTTGCTTTTTAAGTGCATGCAGGGAGCTCACACAGCCACACGTGGCCACACTGTGGTCTGAGCATCCCATCCAGCGAGCTAGTTCCAGGTGGATGGTTTGGGGCCTGGCTGCTCTATCCCATGTTGCTCTTGTTTCTTTCAGAGATCTGAAACTGGACAATGTCCTGTTGGACCACGAGGGTCACTGTAAACTGGCAGACTTCGGAATGTGCAAGGAGGGGATTTGTAATGGAGTCACCACGGCCACGTTCTGTGGCACGCCCGACTATATTGCTCCAGAGGTGAGTGCAACTGCTTGGTGTGGCTTCTGAAATCTGAGCTGTCCAGTAACCCGGACCAGAAATGCCACCAGCTCCTTTTGTGTACTGCAGCTTTTTGGGCAGCATTAAAAGCTGACACTTCCAGATACATCTATGGTTCATTGGGTGAATAACAACTAAAAATGTCCTAGGTCCCTCTAAATAAGAATTTGAGTTAAAAAAAATTTTTGTAAACTTTGCAGTTGCTTTAGGCTTTAGCCCTAAATGAAGACAAAGTGTGCTCCACTCATGGTGATTTAATTTATTTCCCTCTTTGTCTTTGCTCAGTGATTTAATCCCAGCCTCATTTAGCAGAACTAAAGAAAAGCTCTTGAGTCTTTCCCATGTGAGTGAGTGAACCCATTCTCCTCTTTCTTCTACACTGATATATTTCCAGAGCTCTTCTGTTTTGGATCTTCACATGTCCTCACCTTGGCCTGAGCAGGCCATAAGTATTTGCTCACCTAGATAAGAAGGTGTCGCTGAGTTGACCACAGGGAAAACAAAGCATTCCGTAGAGATGGAATGAAACATGCGTGCCAGCCTGGGAGGCTTCATTTTTTTACTTTGATATTTCCTAATCCATCACTTTCCCTAGTCTTGAAGAACACATTTGTTAATCAGCTGTGCGAAGCCCTTTTCACACTGCCCTCTTTGCACAGATCCTCCAGGAGATGCTGTACGGGCCTGCAGTAGACTGGTGGGCCATGGGCGTGTTGCTCTATGAGATGCTCTGCGGTCACGCACCGTTTGAGGCAGAGAATGAAGATGACCTCTTTGAGGCCATACTGAATGATGAAGTGGTCTACCCGACCTGGCTCCATGAAGATGCCACAGGGATCCTAAAATCTGTAAGTGTGGCTTGTCCAGCCAGCTCCTGACCAGCAAACCAGCTTGCTCTATGTGCTTCTCGTGTCTTTTTTTAATACCTCCCACCAACGAGCCACCTGCTCTAACTAAAATTTGTGTTCTAATCTAAAGAATCAAAGAACCAGAATTCTCTCAGGCTGTTTTTCTCTCTTATGCAATAGTTATTCATATTTCTGGGCTAATTGCAATGGCCTTTGATAGCTTTGTTTGCCAAGTATCAAGTATTTCTACCACTCATGACTCTACTGTAGGTGAAGTAATGGTCCCCGTTCATGCGTTCGAGCCACACCAGGGTGTCATCTCAAGTGGACACCATTCCCAGTCTGCTATGACATCAATTGTGTTTCTGTTGGCAATGTCCAAGGAGCGGGATGAAGGGGCCTTTACCTCAGTGCCAGGAGAGAAGAAGGGAGGTTTTCCAATCCTCTGCAGATCTCTTTTTGCCTCCATCTTATCCTTATGCAAGCCAGGTGCCAAGCCCAGGCTTCAGGTACACTGTGGTAATGTATCATGTTAAGAAAGTCTTTTTTTGTATGCATAGTTAGTTGCTGGATGCCTTACTTTGAAGTGAGGAAGAAAAATGGATTTGACACTTTTATGTTGAAAATGAAGTACATGTAATTTGGGTCAGTTCTGTAACCACATTAGTTGAGTTCAAAAGTCATGTATTTTCACCTACTATTTGCAGAAGGGATAAAAGACAAATAAAAGATCTATTCTTCAAGTAGGGAAAAATCAGAACAACCCATTTTCTGTTGGATAGTATCTATGGGATAAGAATTACTTTCCTCCGGTTACAGCCTTTCAATAATTTGAGAGAAAAAGCTAAATTTGGGAAATATGAGATGTCTTGTTGACAGAATTCCCTCTTTAGAAATCTCCGGCCTTATAATCAGTGCCATTTCGAGAACAGTTTGTATGTGGGCCACTGTGTACTGGAGCTGAAGGCGCGATTGTCCCTGAGAATTCTCCACATAGCACTAAAAGAGAAATAATCACAGAAATCCTTCTCAGGCAAATATTGCCAAAGTGACTCATACATGATTTATAGTTTGATTCTGAAGCTCAGGTGGCAGCACCCTCCTGAAATTGAGAAAGCACTAATCTCATCTAGAAATAAAAGCAGAGTACTCTGGGGTTCTACCAAACATCTCCTATCTGGCATGTTTTCATAACAACAATTCATTTGTATATTTAGTAGAAATTTTAGACTGGGGAAACCAAGAATGTGGCTTTTGTAGTTTTATGAGTAAAACAGCATGGAAAAGGGCTTGTCTTTGTGGATTTGTGCCATGAAGTTTCTTAACTTCCTGAAGGGAAATGTACTCACCTATGTTGGCCCGGCCAACCTTGAAAAGGTAAACTGCGATAACACGATCTCGGCGTGTTGCAGATGTGGGCTTACGCAAACTGATGCCTTGCCCACTTCCATGACCTGGAATCTGGCTCTGAGATTGGCAGGGCATGCCAGCCCCCGTGGCCTGCAACAGCCACCATCATCATACCAATGGTTTTTCACGGCACACATATTCAGTCCAATTACTGTAGCTGACTTAGCATTTTTCGTATTTAGAGGAAGGACCTCGGAGTTTGTAATTCAAATGAAAATGCTAATTCAAGCCATTAAGAAATGTGTGTTGTTAGCCTTGGTATATAAAGGTCACTATGCTTGATAACCATGAAGGGTAGGAAATAAAAGTCAGTCTATGCCTCAAGAAACTTTAACGTTCTCTATTTGGGGATTAACAATCCAGATGGGTGTTTCTCTGATAAATCCCTCATACCTTTTGAATCTAGGTCTAGTAGAAAAAGAATCTTAAGAGGCCACATCACTATTTGGGATGGACATCACTAACACCTGCTTCTCTTCATTTTTTCCTTCACAATTTTAGAAGTCCTCAACCTCATTCTGATATTTCAGAGTCTTCCTGAGAGAATTCTTTTGAACTAAATCTGAGGCTAGGTATCACTCCCTTAGCCAACCTTTGTAGAACCTAGGACAGGTACTAAGCAAGGTTAAGATTCATGTAGAATTATTAAGAATGTTACATCCTAACCAGGTAAACTTAATTACTTTAAGCTTTATCTTTTATGCAAATATAAATATTTTTGGTAATGAGCACATATGTTACCTGGTAATATTCCCCATGGTCTTTGCTCTGAGAGATAACAGTGTCTGGTGCCTAAAGAGAGTGTCATCTTCAGTGGAGACTCAGTGGTTCCCTCTCCTGATAGGCTCACTTCTGGGAAGCTGCGAATCCCTTCACTTCCCTTTGTTTCAGCTCCTTTCTGATGCCAGCTGCACCATTCGGTTCATTACGTGTCATTTATCTAGCACTCATTTTCCTACATGGCACTCCACGTGCTCTCTGGGGTGTCTTCCCCAGAGCCGGGAGGAGAAGCTCTGGGCTCCCAGTGCCAGGCCTGCCTCCCAGCCCTGTTACCATCCCACTGAGTGACCTTGGGGGAGCCCCTACACCCTCTGAACCTCAGTTTCCTTGCTTGCAACATAGAGGAGGGAAAAGAGCAACGCCATAGGGCTATTGTCAGGATTAAATGAAATATTAATGTTACAGACACACTTCCTGAGCACACAATAAACATCTGTTTCTTCCTTCTTCAAGGAATGTGCCTACAAAGTAATTTTCTGGAAAACATTTGAAAGTTGTCAGATAAAATTACTAAAAAAAAATTTACCGAGAGGATTTCTTGTACAGTTTTATACAATTTCAGCCTCCTTGCCTAAAAACAGGATGTTTAAATGCTATAGATGAGGACATTCAGCTAGTGTTTGCAGAGGGCTGAAACTTGTAAATGGAAGTGTGATCAAGGAAAAGAAAGAAAACAGTTCTGAGCACTCAAGGCCCAGGAGAAACACTGAGGAGGGAAAGGGAAACAAAGAGTTGAGTTACTTAGGAAACTGCCTCCTGAGCAGAGCTGTCCAACGGCACATCTTGGCTCTTACATCCACTGGCTGTGAGACCTTGGGCAAATGGCATAATTCTGCCACGCCTCAGTTTCCTCTCCCGTGCAGTTAGGGTACCCACCCCACGGGCTACTGTATGGATGCGTGGGTGGGATGTTTGGAGCAATGCTCGGCACAGGGTGTGTCTTCAGGAAGTGTCCTCCACCATTACCAGTGAGACTCTTTATCTCTGAAAAATTATTACTTTGTCATATTAGGAGGAGAGTTCAAGATATCAAGTCAGGCCACACAACACATTCAGACTGCTTTCTGGCTCTAATTGCAACTTGATTTAGTTAGGCCAATATAGTTCTTTTATTGCTAGAATAAAACTTAGAGATTGTTCATTCCAACCCCGTCATTTTATAGATGACGAATCTATAAGGCACAGAGAAATTGTGACTCATGGAAGGCCATGCAGCATATTACTTTAACACATATATTGTAACCTTTGTGCATTGCTGGAGAGCATGTAAAATGGTACAGCCACTGTAGAAGATGGTGTGGTGGGCAGGCCTTCAAAAAATTAAACATAGAATTACCGTATGATCTAGCACTTCTACTTCTGGATATGTGCCCCAAAAAATTGAAAGCAGGAACTTACATAGATATTTGTAACCGCTGTTCACTGCAACATTATTCTCCATAGCCAAAAGGTGGAGGCAACCCAAGTGTCCATCACCAGGTGGATAAATAAAATGTGGTAATACACCTGATGGAATATTAGCCTTAAAAAGCAAGTAAATTCTGACACACGTCACAACATGGATGAACCTTGAAGGCTTTATGCTAAGTGAAATAAGACAGACACAAAAGGACAAATGTTATATGATTTCACTTATATGAGGTACTTAAGGTGGTCAATTTATAGAGACAGAAAGTAGAATGGTAGTCACCAGGGGCTGAAGGAAGGTGGGAAGGGAACATTAGCGTTCAATGGGTGTAGAGTTTCAATTTTGGAAGATGAAAAAGTTCTGGAGATGGATAGAGTGATGGTTGTACAGCAGTGTGAATGCACTTAATGCCCCTGTGCTATACACTGAAAATGGTTAAAATGATAAATCTTATATATATTTTGCCATAATAAAAAAAGGGGGAGGGGAATAACCTGGGATCAGATTCCAAATTTTCCTGACTTCTAGTCCAGGGTTCTAAGATGGATTACATCTGGCCATTCCCCATTTTTTCCCTACTTTCCGTTAATGAGTATATTTTTACCCTTGGAGCCCCACATTTCTGGCATCCAAATTATTCTCTGATGTCATTCTTTTCCCTGGAACATTAGGCACTGGAGGAAGCTACCAGGGTGCTGTGTTTACTACTCACATAGCATGAATCTCTAGCCTATTTAACTTTCAGTAAAGTAAGATATAATGTTTATGATAATACTTATTGTGTTATTTAAATATTGTGCATTTGAATAATGCCATAATGTCAGAAGTAATTATTATTCTGTTGACCTGAGAAGAGCGTCTGTAATTCTGGAAGGAGAAGCCAATATATTAGTAAATCAGAATCCATGTTCAATTCAGCTCAGTAAATACTTGTCAGGTGTCTTTCTCTGCTTGGCCTGTGCTGAGGGCCGGGAATAGAAGATGAAAGGACATGGCCTTCTGCTGCTGCTTACAGACTAGTAGGAATGAGAACATGAATACTTAGCACACTGCCATGGAAAAATGCTTTTCCTGAGGGCTTCTTTCTTTGGGGGTAAGGACAGGGAATGTGACATAAGGACAAGACAAAGGAAGTGGCATTTAAACTGGGTGCTAAGGGATAAATAAGGATTCAGTGGGGTAGACAAGAGGGAGAAAGATGTTCTAGGCAGAGGAAATAATTTGTGCAAAGCCTCAGAGGCAGCAAGTAGCATGCATGTTCCAAGAACTGCAGTTCCTACTTCTACACCGTTGGAGTGTTAGGTGCAGGCGGAAGCAGTGAAAGATGAGTTTATGGCATCATGAGTTTATGGCATGTGCTTTGATGGGCCAGGGAGACAATCAGAAAGTGGCATATACTTGG